CTCAGCCCTCTGGACAACAGTTTTGGTAATCCCGCACCTCCTCCTAACTTCCAAACTACGAATTCTCTGCATTATATTCACACCACACATTGCCCTCAGACATGACATCTCCACTGCCTCCAGCCTTCTCCTCGCTGCAACATTCATCACCCATGCTTCACACCCATATAAGAGCGTTGGTAAAACTATACTCTCATACATTCCCCTCTTTGCCTCCAAGGACAAAGTTCTTTGTCTCCACAGACTCCTAAGTGCACCACTCACCCTTTTCCCCTCATCAATTCTATGATTCACCTCATCTTTCATAGACCCATCCGCTGACACGTCCACTCCCAAATATCTGAATACATTCATCTCCTCCATACTCTCTCCCTCCAATCTGATATCCAATCTTTCATCACCTAATCTTTTTGTTATCCTCATAACCTTACTCTTTCCTGTATTCACTTTTAATTTTCTTCTTTTGCACACCCTTCCAAATTCATCCACCAATCTCTGCAGCTTCTCTTCAGAATCTCCCAAGAGCACAGTGTCATCAGGAAAGAGCAACTGTGACAACTCCCACTTTATGTGTGATTCTTTATCTTTTAACTCCACGCCTTTTGCCAAGACCCTCGCATTTACTTCTCTTACAACCCCATCTATAAATATATTAAACAACCATGGTGACATCACACATCCTTGTCTAAGGCCTACTTTTACTGGGAAATAATTTCCCTCTTTCCTACATACTCTAACTTAAGCCTCACTATCCTCGTAAAAACTCTTCACTGCTTTCAGTAACCTACCTCCTACACCATATACCTGCAACATCTGCCACATTGCCCCCTATCACCCTGTCATACGCCTTTTCCAAATCCATAAATGCCACAAAGACCTCTTTAGCCTTATCTAAATACTGTTCACTTATATGTTTCACTGTAAACACCTGGTCCACACACCCCTACCTTTCCTAAAGCCTCCTTGTTCATCTGCTATCCTATTCTCCGTCTTACTCTTAATTCTTTCAATAATAACTCTACCATACACTTTACCAGGTATACTCAACAGACTTATCCCCTATAATTTTTGCACTCTCTTTTGTCCCCTTTGCCTTTATACAAAGGAACTATGCATGCTTTCTGTCAATCCCTAGGTACCTTACCCTCTTCCATACATTTATTAAATAATTGCACCAACCACTCCAAAAACTATATCCCCACCTGCTTTTAACATTTCTATCTTTATCCATCAATCCCGGCTGCCTTACCCCCTTTCATTTTACCTACTGCCTCACGAACTTCCCCCACACTCACAACTGGCTCTTCCTCACTCGTACAAGATGTTATTCCTCCTTGCCCTATACACGAAATCACAGCTTCCCTATCTTCATCAACATTTAACAATTCCTCAAAATATTCCCTCCATCTTCCCAATACCTCTAACTCTCCATTTAATAACTCTCCTCTTCTATTTTTAACTGACAAATCCATTTGTTCTCTTGGGTTCCTTAGCTTGTTAATCTCACTCCAAAACTTTTTCTTATTTACAACAAAATTTGTTGATAACATCTCACCCACTCTCTCATTTGCTCTCTTTTTACATTGCTTCACCAATCTCTTAACCTCTCTCATTTTCTCCATATACTCTTCCCTCCTTGCATCACTTCTACTTTGTAAAAACTTCTCATATGCTAACTTTTTCTCCCTTACTGCTCTCTTTACATCATCATTCCACCAATCGCTCCTCTTCCCTCCCGCACCCACTTTCCTGTAACCACAAACTTCTGCTGAACACTCTAACACTACATTTTTAAACCTACCCCATACCTCTTCGACCCCATTGCCTATGCTCTCATTAGCCCATCTATCCTCCAATAGCTGTTTATATCTTACCCTAACTGCCTCCTCTTGTAGTTTATAAACCTTCACTCTCTCTTCCCTGATGCTTCTATTCTCCTTGTACCCCATCTACCTTTTACTCTCAGTGTAGCTACAACTAGAAAGTGGTCTGATATATCTGTGGCCCCTCTTTAAACATGTACATCCTGAAGTCTACTCAACAGTCTTTTATCTACCAATACATAATCCAACAAACTACTGTCATTTCGCCCTACATCATATCTTGTATACTTATTTATCCTCTTTTTCTTAAAATATGTATTACCTATAACTAAACCCCTTTCTATACAAAGTTCAATCAAAGGGCTCCCATTATCATTTACACCTGGCACCCCAAACTTACCTACCACACCCTCTCTAAAAGTTTCTCCTACTTAGCATTCAGATCCCCTACCACAATTACTCTCTCACTTGGTTCAAAGGCTCCTATACATTCACTTAACATCTCCCAAAATCTCTCTCTCTCCTCTACATTCCTTCTTCTCCAGGTGCATACACGCTTATTATGACCCACTTTTCACATCCAACGTTTACTTTAATCCACATAATTCTTGAATTTACACATTCATATTCTCTTTTCTCCTTCCATAACTGATCATTCAACATTACTGCTACCCCTTCCTTTGCTCTAACTCTCTCAGATACTCCAGATCTTAATCCCATTTATTTCCCCCACCGAAACTCCCTACCCCCTTCAGCTTTGTTTCGCTTAGGGCCAGGACATCCAACTTCTTTTCATTCATAACATCAGCAATCATCTGTTTCTTGTCATCCGCACTACATCCACGCACATTTAAGCATCCCAGTTTTATAAAGTTTTTCTTCTTCTCTTTTTTAGTAAATGTCTACAGGAGAAGGGGTTACTAGCCCATTGCTCCCGGCATTTTAGTCTCCTCATACGACACGCATGGCTTACGGAGGAAAGATTCTTTTCCACTTCCCCATGGACAATAGAAGAAATAAAGAAGAACAAGAGCTATTTAGAAAAAGGAGAAAAACCTAGATGTATGTATATATATACTATATGCATGTGCGTGTCTGTGAAGTGTGACCAAAGTGTAAGTTGGAGTAGCAAGATATCCCTGTTATCTAGCGTGTTTATGAGACAAAAAAATATTATATATATATATATATATATATATATTATATATATATATATATATATATATATATATTATATATATATATATATATTTATATATATATATATATATATCTCCCAGTTGACTTGCCATGGGGCTGTCATGGCAAGTCACGTGTGGTTATTATATTATTGATAATTTAAACAGGATTTTCAGAGCATGGTACTGTGTCATGGGGAAGCCTTGAACCTGGGGAATGGGAGGAATCAGGTTCTATGACACATGGTAGTGAAGAGGCTGGAGGTCGACCCCCTGGTGTGACCCGTGGTAGTGGTAAGAGCCGAGGCTGGTGGTCGACCCCCTTGTGTGACACATGGTAGTGGTAACAGCCGAGGCTGGTGGTCGACCCCTTGGTGTGACACGTGGTAGAGACGAGACTGGTGGTCGACTCCTGGTGTGTAATTATCCCTGGTGTTGTGTAGTGAGGTGTGTCATGGATGCCAATGTTTCTAAGAGTAGCCGTGCGTAGGTCCAGTCGTGTCTGGGATCTATTCCCTTCCTTACTGCCTCCTTCCCTCCCTCCCTCTCTGGCTCTCCCTTACTGCCTCCCTCTCCCTGTCCCTCCCTCCCTCCCTCCCTCCCTCTCTGGCTCTCCCTTACTGCCTCCCTCTCCCTGTCCCTCCCTCCCTCCCTTCCTCTCTGGCTCTCCCTTACTGCCTCCCTCTCCCTGTCTCTCCCTCCCATTGCCTCTTCCTTGGTCTTAGTAATATAGTTAAAAGTCTGAGTGGATCAGTTACTATGATAACATGAGCGTAAATTAGTACATTTACGGAGCAACTTACAATGTAAACATACTGTTGCAATGGATACATTATCAGGAGCTTGTAGTGTTGCAGAACTAGAAGAGGAAATCCAGGCAGACTCGTTCAGGGGAACGACTCTCTCCAGAATCAATACGAATGGTCTAGAGCTATCATTCAACTCTCCCTTTGGTTATTTTGCATACTGACTGATGTAGTAGCCAGGCTTAAGCTTGGTTACAAGTACCTCTGGCAGTCTGGCAGACACTCAGATGATTAAACTAAATGTGAATATGTGGTCAGCCTTATGGTCACTTTAGCATTACGTGCTTGACACTATAATACTTATTTCATATGTCTAGGTATCTTATTTCCATTAATAAGATACCAGACATAGGAGTATGAAGCAGATATCCTAAATTTTCTTGTAACAGATAAGATTAATTGCAGATAAAAGTCTCAGTGTATCCCAGTTAACTTTTTTGGGCCCTAGTTCCTGGGCCTTTTGTTTACCCACATGATCTTGCGCTATCCTCCACAGCGTGGATATGGGGTTCACAATAAACCAGCCACTTCAGAGGAAAAATCTAAAACTCCCAACCTATTTCTCCCTCTTTTGTTTTCTCTCCCTCCTTGTCTCTTTATCCTTACCCGTTTCTCCTTCACCGTCGCCCCTCCATCACTCCGTATATTTGTATAATATACTTTATGTATAGCAGTGTTATATTAAACTGCAGTTTCATTGCTCAGTATAAATTGATTTGTTTTCCCTATAATTATCAAAACACGAGAGTTATCTTGTTGACGTTTATAGTTCAGTTAATGTCCGCAGATAATTTACTGCCTTCTTGGAACCTGACAAAGTGTCGTGTAGGACACTACACACGACAAATGTCAACCCGTCTTGGAGTATGCAGCAGCAGCATGGAACCCATATCTGTTTTATTATGTAGAGAAACTGGATAAAGTGCAGATGTTCACAACGAGACTAGTCCAGGAGCTAAGGGAAACGAACTGTGAAACGAGACTGGAGGAGCTGTACCTGACGACATGTGAAGATAGAAGGACCAGGGGTAAACATAATAACGTACAAAATACTCAAAGGGCTTGATATGGTACCTGAAGGATGTTTCAGGGGGTCGGTGCTCCCACTAACCTCCTTCCAGAGCACCAGCAGACTGCTTACTGATGTGAAATTGTCAAAGTAAATGTTAATTCTTGTTTCTCTGTCCCCCCAGCCACCCTGGAGCCCACCTACCAGCAGCTGCAGACCATGAGGCTGGACAAGAGCCCCTTCGTCATCATCTCCGTTATTGGCCAGGAGCTGCTCGCCGCTGGCCACTACGCTGCCGCCGTCGTTGTCTTGGAGTCAGCACTCAAGATTGGCACGTGCTCACTCAAGCTACGGGGCTCAGTCTTCTCGGCGCTCTCCTCGGCCTACTGGGCTCTCAATTCTCTTGACAAGGTAAATGAGGCTCTCCTCCGGAAGCCTCTTGGCTTCTGCTTCACCTACATGAATTTCCATGAAGTGGGAGTCAATGCAGTTCTCCTCTCTGTAAAGTTTTATACTCTCCTGGTTGGTACATTAATAGTACTCTAGTTCTGTACTCTCCTGGTGGGTACATTACTAGTTCTCTACTCTCCTGGCAGGTACATTTACTAGTACTCTAATTTCTGTACTCTCCTGGTGGGAACATTTACGGGTACTCCTCTAGTTTCTGTACTCTCCCTGTGAGTACATTAACTAATACTCCTCTAGCAATACTTCTGTAACTTTCTGAAGTTAACACCGACTCACTTGCCCCAGGTTCAAGCCCCGCCTGTTACCTGGTATCACGATGTCGTGAGTCGTGAATTTTAAGGTAGGTACCAGTAGCCCAGACACCCGGTGCGCTAATATTGATATTTCGTATGACAGACACTACATTATGTCAGTACTTCCTCTGTCGTAGCAAATCTCACTAGAACGTGCTATGTGTTGCTTCAATGTCATGAGAATCAACAGTGAGATCAATGACTTTGTGCTATTATTAATAAACTAGAGAACGATCAATTATATCAGTGAGACTAGTGTTATTAGCAGGCAATGAGATTGGTAATTTAACTGAAATATAGTGAGATTGGGAGGGAGTGTTTGCAGTGTTTAGATTAGTTTGTAATTTAGTGAGATTAGCAAAAAGTGAATCTCTTAGTAATTAGTAATAACTGAAACTGATGGCATAATTAGGAAACCCCACAGTTAGTACATTTAGAGAAAGTTGGAGAAACAGTTAGTCGAAATTAAATTTGAATCGCTTGATATATATTCAGAACACACTGTGCATTCGTAAGAGCCAGTGAGTAGTCTACATGGCACCAATTAAATCTAATTGAGGGGTTAAAACCAGGTACTGAGGGGGGTTAACCCCCCTCCAGTTCCCTGAATTGAGCCTGAATACCTTCCATCCTCCCCCTTACGTGCGCTGTATAATCCTACGGGTTTAGCGCTCCCCATGATTATAATAATGAGGGGGTTAAGACTGAGGGGGTTAAGAGTAGCTACTGAGAGGTTAAGACTAGGTTCTTAGGGGTTAAAATTAGGTACTGAGGAGTTAAGACTAGGTATTGAGGGGTTAAATCATATATGAGAAGCGTACGATTAGTTGTGGTTGTAGTTGTGGCGATGACCGCTGGTAGCCACGCTGCGCCACTACCTCGAGGCCACACCAAAACATTGTCAAAATTCATAACTCACGAAATCGTAATGACAAGATTGCAAACAAACCATACCACGGGTGGGGTTTGATCCCGCGGTCAGAGAGTCTCAAAACTCCAGACCGTCGCGTTAGCCACGGTTCTTAGAAAATGATTTAAGCAAAGGGGAAAAAAATGTTTTTATGCCGTTGTTTGGCGCGAAAAAGCTAGAAGAATGCTTCCTGAAAGCCGTTTGAAAGGGCAGGTTAAAAAATGTGCATTTTGACGGTTTCTTAACGAAAACAATCGTCGGCGGCGCGTGCTGGAAAACAGACGTTCCAGTGACACTTGTCTTACTGATAATACACACAAAACCTACGTCATAGTTGATAAAGTGCTTTTTAAACACCTCTTTTGAGGTAAGCAAATACTGGCTGGCTAGTTAACTGGTTGGTTGATTAGTTGGCTGACTAGTTGATTGGTTAGTGGCGGGCTAGTTGACTGGTTAGTTGGCAGGTTACTTGACTGGTTGGTTGGTGGCGACTCGTTAATTAGTAGCTATTTGACTGGTTGGTTCACGGTGAGTTGACAGGTTAGCTAGTGGCTAGTTGACTACTTGGTGGGTAGTTGACTGGTTAATGACTAGTTGACTGGTTGGTTGGCTGGCATGTTGACTGCTTATTTGGCTGGCTTGCTGGCTGACCAACTGGATGAGTGGCTAATTATAGTGCTGGCCGTGCTCGACTGCTTGTTAGCTAGCCAGCCAGGTGCTAGTCGACTAGAGGGTCAGCGTGGTTAACTAGCCAGTCTGTTGCTCGATGCTTCACAGAACAATCAAATTTGGTTAACTTCGTTAACTGCGGTGAACACGGTCAGCCAGAGTGGCGAGGCAGTGGTGCTGGTGGCTCAGCCAGGCGGAACACAGACTGAGAGTGCAGCAACAACAATTTCTCCAGCTAAGCTCTTGCCAAACACGGTAACTGTTCAAGAGTCATCCAACCAATATCTCTTTTGAGAGCTATCGAACAACGGGGGTTGGGAGAGGAAGTGGGGAGGGGATAGATGTTACTCGTTTGAGAGCTTTCGAATAAGTGGGGAAGTGGAGGAGGGGGGTGTTGGATACATGCTGGAGTACAGGTTGTTTGGATACTAGTGCAGGCTTGATGGCATTTGCGATCCGGAGCTTTTTTTGAGATTCATTGAGCTCCTGGACCCTTGTTTGAGGGTCTTTTACTGTTTGATGCGTTCTGTTTGTTTTCAACAGTGATACTTGAGGTTCTTTCCAACGATGGCACTTGTTTGAGGTCATTTCAAGAGCGGTTTAATAGCTAAATTTATTATGCACCTCCATACCCATCCTGTTAAACCCATCTTTTGGGTGTTAGTCAAAAAAAAAAAAATACATGGGCTAATAATGGGCCCAGGGACTAAACCTTAGCAAGTTACATTTGTAATGAATTATTTACACCCTTGTATCTGATAGCTTATGTGTGGTTTTCAATTATTTATATTACCTTATATTTTAACAAAGTATATTTTGAATTTAAACGCGTTTAAGTGGTTATGGAGTTTACAAGAAGCAGTGTCAGGAATTTTTCCAGAATGGTTGGTAATGTCACCGGAGATAAAATACTTTGACTTTTCTTCAACATTTGTGAGTTTTTTTCTAATTCACCAATATTATATTATTCCAGCACATCCTGACACAGGATGGAGGAGGAAAACTCTCGAAGCTCATCAGTGGTATGTGCCAAAATGCCAGAAGTATTTGTAACCAAACATAAGCCTAGTTACTACTATTACTTGTGCTGATACTGACTGTATCAGCACAAGTTACACCGTGAATGTGGTAATCTTAGGTTCATGTTACCTTAGTGATTTATAGATCTACTTGGGCTTCTAACTGCATTCATATGATATTAATTTCCATTACGTATCTCTCTCCTAATATTCCTAATGCTTGATCAGAGATGCTCAAGTTATATTCTGCATTTTCCTTGGAGGTGCTTTCTGATGGAATCTATTTGAATTATGCATTAATTCCCTTTCCTCATAATTTTTGGTGCTGTACTGGGTTTTTCAATGAACATGTTAACTGGTGTCATCATGCGAGTCGAGCGCCTTCAGTGATGTCACAGAATCAGTAATAATTACATAATCAAAGAATCAAGCTCAGTGTGTTATGCTAACTTTGGTGTTATTAAGATGGCAAACAATTAATTTTCCACTGTAGACTCCATTTTTAATTCTTATGTCTGACTCAATATGGTTGCTGTAATTCCTATCCCGGGAGGTGGCGATGAGAGAAGATGCAGCCCAGCTAGACTCCTGCTTACAGCTAGCTACTAGTGTATATATTTTGTGATGTCTTATTACTAACAAGCGAGAAATTTCTTCTTGAGCAGTTTCCTTTGCCAGTGATTTTAAATGAACATCTATGGTTGGGTGGAATGCTCATGTTGTCTACAGAGATAGAGTTCGTGCAAATTATATAACTTAATAAATTGTATGTTTTCAAAACTCATTTAAATTGCATTTATTTACTTCTCGTCGTTTATTAAGATATATAGTGACAGTGTGTAGTTCACATCTTAACATTCTAATAATAAGAGACATTATTAATCTCTACCCTCAAGGAAGGTTCCTTGATGTTGGTGAGGGGCTCTTGATTTAGGGAATTGGATCTGTGCTCCAGTTCCCCAAATTAAGCCTGAATGCCTTCCACATCCCCCCCCCAGGTGCTGTATAATCCTCCGGGTTTAGCGCTTCCCCTTTGATTATAATAATAATATAATAATAATATATAATCTTAATTTTATCCTGTCACTGACACTAGGAACACCAACATCTTTCTCATATTAAGAACATTAGTAGTTTTAGGACAACCAAGAATAATTCTGAGAGCTCTTTTTGCATTAGTTCCAAGGGGCGGACAGAATTCTGTTTAATGTTAACATGGGCACAGCATAATCATACTCGCCATTCTCACCGTTCTTACATTAGCACCATAGCTGGGGTTGTAGCTAGCAACACCACTGTGGACATTTTGCCTCTGTTTCTTATTTAGTTGTGGTATCATGGATTTAGTGAGAGGTACGTCTATACCAAGATACTATCTGTGTTTATAAGATTTAACGCAGCTAATTTTGTCTCCCAGCAAACAAATGGGTGGAGCATGTCATTTGCTTGTTTAGATGGGGATATGATGAAGCCTGGTCGATTACTTAAACTTCTTAAAGAATAGTACTCACTTTCTTTTGCCCTGTTGTGTGAATTATGATGTTATCAACATAGGTTTTTGGTGTGTTTAGATAGGACATGGCATTAAACAGCATAGGTTTGAGAACTCCTTGTGGTACACCAACTGATATGTCTTTTAGTCTCGCTTATAAAACCTTGGAAGATAACAGAGAATACTCTATTTGACAAATAACTTATTATCCATCTGAGTAAGTTACCACCAATACTCAGTTTAGTTAGTTCATGTAGGATAACAGCTCTGTTTGCGATATCAAATGCAGACTCAAGAAATGTGGGAAAGCTAGTAGAAGTGTGAGTAGAGAGAAGGTGATTATACAGTTCTGTACACTTGACCCTTATACAGGGGCTCTGGTGGCCTGGTGGCTAAAGCTTTCGCGTCACACGGCGAGGACCTGGGTTCGATTCCCAGCCAGAGTAGAAACATTGGGCCTGTTTCTTTCCACCTGTTGTCTATTTTCCCCATCAGTAAAATGGGTACCTGGGTGTCAGTCGACTGGTGTGGGTGGCATCCTGGGACACTGACCTAATTTGCCCGACATGCGGAGCATAACAAGGAGCTTTCTATATAGTAATATGTCATTGTTGTCAGCTAGGACTGTATACCATGTACATGTACTTGTAGTAAATAAAGATATTATTATTATTATTATTATTATTATTATATACATCCACAGAGATAAGAGTTATTGTCTGATCCTCTAGTACAGTATCTTGGGTATCATTCTTCCAAATGTTTTACATAGGTAAGCGGTCTCAATACATCAGGCTGTTGTGGGTCAAGAATAGGTACAGTGAGACTTGCGGTCCAGGAATTAGGAAGAAAACTTTCGGTGTAACTAAGATTATACATTGCTCACAAAAGTTTATCAGTGACTTGCCTTGAAGTTCTGGGGATAATTTTAAATGTTAGTGTACATTGTAAAGTTTTATAACCTTTTAGACTCCTGATACAGAGATAACATGTGTGACCATTAAACGCTAATGTTTAGTTTTGTTTTACGACCAGTTAGAAGAAAATACGTTATTTAAGATTTCAGTAGCTTTTAATTCCTTTGGTTTTTAAATTAAATGTTCCATTAGGGATGGTGTGTGTGTGTGTGTGTGTGTGTGTGTGTGTGTGTGTGTATTAGCCTGATCAAGCATATGAACATAATCCTGGTCTTAATGTCCATGCTCTTCGACAGACACTATACAAGGACATCAGACCATACTACTGACTCTCCTCACCAGCTAAACATCAAAACCTTCTCACTGCATATCTGTGTGTGTTCAAGTTAACCTTGTACTCTTCTCTTATGCAGGCTGTCTCATACATGCAGCAAGACCTGGCAGTGGCCAAATCTCTGGGTGACATCGCGGGCGAGTGCCGGGCCCACGGTAACCTGGGAAGTGCCTATTTCAGTAAGGGTAACTACAAGGAGGCACTCACCTCGCACCGCTACCAGCTGGTACTGGCCATGAAGTGCAAGGATACCCAGGCAGCAGCGTCAGCCCTCACCAGCCTTGGTAAGTCACCAACCACCCCTAATTTTACTACCTCCTCTCTGCCTTTAGTTTCATTGATTTTCATATGTTTTACTGATGATGGTGGCCCAGGGCCGCCCGAAACAACGCCTCGTTTCATACATTGTTTGTGGCTCAGTGGTAAATTGTTGTAGCTCAGGTATTGTCAAAGTTATTCTCTTATATGTCTTTCAGGATGTGTCAGTGTCTGTACGCAAGGATACAGACTTTTATTTCTTATTTTAAGTGTGCATGGTGAAATGTCTCTCTCTTGGCCACCAGCTTCTCCAACACTCTCCCTCAGTGTGTCTCCTGGCCACCAGCTTCTCCTACATTCTCCCTCAGTGTGTCTTCTTGTCACCAGCTTCTCCAACACACTCCTTCAGTGTGTCTCCGGGTCACCAGCTTCTCCAACACTCTACCTTAGTTCCCAGTAGACATAATTACTCGTGAGTACATATAATAAGCATATGGAGTGAGTTCATGCGAGTACATGGTGAGTACATAATGTGATTAGATACGTACAGTAAGTACGTACATAGAGTACATACGTACGTAAGTAACATTATAAATATTACAGTATTAAACAAATGCATATATCGAATTCAGTAAGAGAAATGGAAATAAGAGAAAGTATTAAGAAGGGGAGGAAGAGGGGAAAAGAAGAGAAATGGGAGGGGTAAGAGGGTGAGGAAGAGAGAGAGAGAATGCGGAAGAGATGAGGGAGGAAATGTGATGGGAAGGGAAAGACATGAAAGGAGGAAGACCGAAGAAGGAGAGAGGGACAGAAAAGCTAGAAACACAAGAAAGATGGAAAGGATGAAGCGTAATGAGCAACTAATTCATGTTAATGAAGGGTGGGGGGCTGGGATGGAGATGGTGAGGGGGAGGGGTGGGGAGAGGGGATGTGAGGGGAGGGGGAGTGAGGTGAAGGTTGGAACGTGGGAGATGATTACCAGCCAGACCTCTACACACCCGCCACCACGGACATCATCAGAAGAGCCGCCACTAATGACATCACAGGAACCGCCACCCGCCACTAATGACATCACAGGAGCCGCCACCCGCCACTAATGACATCACAGCAGCCGCCACCCGCCACGAGTGACATCACAGCAGCCGCCACCCATCACAAGTGACATCACAGCAGCAGAATCAACAGTTCAGTGAGGTCTTCCTGAAGTATGAACGTACACGCACGCAAGCACGCGCAGACGCCCCAGAGCCACCGAGAGATCTTCACAGTCCTTGAAATCAAGGACTATAAGTACAGAGACAGATCCTAACTGCACAATGAAAAGGAATACAAGTGTGGGGTAAGAAAGAATGAAAGGCAAATTGGACGATAACAAACAGAAGTGTAAACATTACACAGCTGGAAGATTACGACTGAATACACAAGACACAGAAGAGAAGCATAAAATCGAACATTACACAGCAACATCAGGTGAAAAACGGCTAAAAACAAAGGGATTAAAATTTACGAATTTTGGAATGTTCATGAAAAAAAAATCCATGTATGTGAGGCACTCGAAAAAATCCAAGTGATCCTGGCAAGTGAAGACAGGGAAAAAAAATGGGAGAGGTGGGAGAAGGCTGACCACAAAATATGTGACTGGAGTAAATAATGCTGACTAAAGAAGAGGTGTGGAGGAATTTAAGCAAGTCGAATATAGGAATCGTGGCATTTGGCAGATTTTACCCTGGGTGCTAGAAAACCCCGACAGAAGCGGGTAGACATTTTACATTTGGTACTGCAGTGCACAGGATCCACAGAAAACTGTCAAGAGACAGGTGTATCATAGTCTAATCATATAACAATCCTGCGGAGACTTATTTGGCCGTAATGAACCCAGGCTGAAGTATTCTACCAACAAAGATTTACAACATGTTACTGATAACTGGAGAGTTATCAGACAGCTTGAAAACAATTAGTGTATTAAGGTTGGTGAAGAAAGGCAAGACAGGAAGCATGAACCTTAGTCCAGTATCTCTGATAGAACTGTACTATAAACTGAAGAAGAAATTAATATAAAAGTGTTATGCGACCTTTGCAGATTTGTTTTCTGAATGGAACTGTAATGCAGGCAGACCTGTCCATTCTGTTATTACATTAAAAAAGTGCTAAACCCCTAGACTGTTTCATAGAACGAAATGAATGTGTGTAAAATCTAGGAATAATCATGTTAGATGAAATTTCGTTTAGAAAACGAGAAATAAATACATCAAAGGCAAGAAGGTGACAGGTTGGATCAAAAGAATTGTCTAAGAAGTCATGAAAAAGACGATAGTCTTCAAATCATTTGTGATCTCACATGGCTTTCTTGCTTATCTATATTTTAAGAAATATTTTAAGAAAGTTTTTGATAGTTCCCCATGAGAGACTAATTGGGAAACTGCAGAATACGAGGAATAAAAGTCAAATTATTACAACGAATGATAAACTTTTTGAGATGAAAATATGATCAGTTATCAGAGGGGAAAAAATATCTGTGGGTAGATGTGACGGGTGGGGTACCACAAGGATCGGTACTTACTCCACTATTCTCTTAATTCATTGAAATATCTTGCCAGAAGGATGATACAAAACTCATTGGTTATATAAATAATAGAAATTACTGTAAATCTCCACTGGATGACTTCAGTAAATTGGTCAAATGAAGTGATGGGTGATGGAAGTTAAAATGGTTAAATGCCATGTAATGGTTATAGGAAAAAAAATAAATCAGGCCACACGAACCATATAGAGTATCTGATAAAATATGAAAAATATCAGGGAGACAAAGGGGGTTAGGAATTAATAAAAAAAGAAGTCAGGGAAAAATCATATTAGCACAATTATGAGAAACTTTTATTCTACACTGACCTTAAAGTATGAGGGTAGAGAAATTATATATAAAAAATAGTGTCTGTAGCATATACTATGTTAAAATTGCGAGATGTAACTGTTATTTGGTTCCCATACTTATGAAAAAAAATACATGGATCTGCAAAATGGCTACAAGGGTTAAAAAATATGAGGTTTGATGAAAGGTTGAACACTGAAGATGTCCAGGGTGGTTGGTAAAAGGGAAAAAGAGGAGACATGATAACTACATACAAGATTATAAAATACGGATGGGACGATAACGGTACTTTATGCAGATACCGATAGCATCAAAATTGGCCGATACCACCCATATCGATATCGATACTTCGGCACACCGCTGTTATAAAAGGACATGCCAGAATATGTAAGGATTTTCTGGTACCGGCAACAGGGATAACAAGAAGCAACAGTTGTAAATTGAGGAAGAAAAAGTGGAGCTGAAGGGATACGAGATTTCTTCGCAGAGTGGTTGACAACTGTAAAAATTTGAAAGATTGCTACAACCTTCGTAAGCGATACAACTATTGAAATTATATAATATATATCATATTTGATATTATATAATATATGATATATATATATATATATATATATATATTATATATATATATATAATACTTGGGTCACCCTGCCTCGGTGGGAGACGGCCGACTTGTTGAAATAATATATATATATATATATATATATATATATTATAGTATATATATAATTTCAACAAGTCGGCCGTTCTCCCACCGAGGCAGGGTGACCAATATTATATATAATATATAATATATATATATATATATATATATATATATATATATATATATATAATATATATATTATATATATATATATATATATATATGTGTTGTGTGTGTTGATGTGTGTGTGTGTGTCGTGCCGAATAAGTAAAACTGGTCAATTAGCAAAACTCAAATAAAATTAAGTCCTTTCTAAATTTTTCTCTTATACGTTTAAAGATATATTCTTTTCATTAATATTAATGTAAAAATTTTTAATTTTGCTCCAAAAGAATCTTAGAAAACTTACCTAACCTTAGCATAACAAGAACAATTTATTTTAGCCTAACCCAACTAAATATATTTTAGATTTGTTTACAATAATTTAATACTAAACAAACACAGCGAAATATATTTTTTTCGTTAGGTTCAGAATGATTTTGGCGAAATTATTGCATACACAAATTTTGACTTGTCCTATATGGCAAGATGAGCGTTGCTATTTAAGCCAAGATCGCAAGTTCTGCCTATTCGGCACGACATATATATATATTATATTACACATGAAATTATTGTAGACGGAAATCCGAACACCACAAGTACAGCTCTCCTACTGTAATTACAAATAGTCTCTCGTGCTCTTACACACACACACACACACACACACACACACACACACACACACACACACACACACACACACACACACACATTTTAAAAACCCTCCCCAAATACTGAAATAAAATTAAGGATTTTTTGCAGCCTTGCTGGGAGTCAGGTACACAGCGCCATGTCACTAATCTTGAGGAAGCTGGAATGCCAGGCGTGGGGAGGGGCACGTGGGGAGGGGCACGTGGGGAGGGGCACGTGGGGAGGGAAGGCCCGTGGGGGGAAGGAATGGGGGTAGCCACAATAGCTTTAATTACATGTCATTGTTGCTGAGAAGACGAATCAAGTGGTTAAGTATTGTTATTGGCTGTTTGTTAAGCGGCAGAGTGGTGGTTGTTTTTGGTGGTGGTGGTGGTGGTATGCAGTGTCGCTGGTGACTGTAGGTAGGTAGGTGATTGTGATAGATCGTTGTAGATACGTTAGTTTGATAGTGATAGTATGTAGGTGTTGGTGGACTAGATGAAGGTGCGTAGTAAAGGTCATGTAGTGTAAGTATACATCTCTTCTGAACGTAATACATTCCACTGTGCTTTATTTCATAATATACACACATTACGTACACCAACATTAATAAAATGTTACCGCAGTATGCAGTTGTCAGTCCCCGGGGTTAAATAAATATACTTTAGTTTGTAGATAGATTATTCTAAATTTTATTACGCCTAAATCGTTATATATATATAAAGAATAGCAGCCAGGAACCATTAGATCTGTTGGCCACAATAATGAAATGTAGTTGA